GCAAATTTCTGCCGGTTCGCCCTCGTCGATCTGCCTAGGAAGCTCGTCTACATTAGGCCTGACATTTTAACCTGCTTATTTCGAATCTTTATCCGCCGCCTTTCAAAACGCACATTACCAGTCCCCGAGCTGAGTGTTTAATTCACAAAATACCAGTCAAATATTTAAGGCGTGAAAGAGTCATGGTATTTGCTGATTCATCCCGCTACCAAAACGGTAACGGTTTGGCTAAAAAAACAACTGGGCATACCTCAAGAAGACGAATGGCTTCATCTATGTCTACGGTGTCCACTTCATCTGCTAGGCGAAGGCGAGCAAGAGCTGTACTCAAACGTATAACTGCCATCAAACTTCGTGCCGAAACAAAAGTTGAATCCTGAAAAGTACATTTACTTCACACAAAAAATGTCAAAGCAAAAAATGCATCAAACAATTAATTACAAACTAAAATGACAATAGAAACTAAGGAAGAAATGAATTAAAAGAACTGGACCTAATAGGTGTAAGAATACATAGCCACATGCACTACGGTGGTCACTGCGATCAAATGTTTTGGGCAGTTCCGTCCTGCGGACGTTTGCTGTTTAGGGGTACGTGAAGGTGGAATTTAAATTTACGCGGTCGGACGTAAGCGAGAAATTTTCTCTTAAATTTTCAGCTTCCAAGTTTTTTTCATTCCCGATGAAGGTAAACATCCATACGCTTGCGAATATAGCTTCGCTTTAAGGCGCTTTTGTTTGCAAAAAGAAGATAGCGAAACAAACTTTGTTAGTTCGTGCTTCCTTTCGTAGGTCCACATACATATCCACAAGTCGATCGCGCAGTCTCTCATCAAGAACCGGCTGTTTTCGCTTACAGATTGCAATGTAACGCCTGAAGATGAAACCGGCATATATCCGTTAAACGGCCGTAGATTGGCAAAACGGGTTTTCGATGCATAATCAGCAAAAAAGAAGGAAAAATCAAGCCTACCTCATCAATGACATATCGAGAGGCTTCATTCCTTCTTTATCTGGTTCACGTCCTTTCATGTGCACATATGTGATATGTTCCGCCAGTCGTTTATCACTTTC